GAATGTAAGTGTCGTTAATTCCCTGAATTATGTCTTGACCACTAAAATGTAAGTTTTGTTAATTAATTCCCTGAATTATGTCTTGACCACTAAAATGTAAGAGTCGTTAATTTTTTCAGCCATGGGGGCGTTATAATGTGACGGTCAATCCCACTATTCGTTGGTAAAAGAGTAGCCCAAGAGTTGGCGGTGGGTGGTGATGACTAGCTGCCTTTCCTCTAGTCTTACACTGCTAAATTAGGGACGGCTAGCGCAGATAGCCCTCGTGTAGCTTTGCGCGAAATTCAAAAACAAACAAACAAACATTTTTAATAAATCGCTTTTTTACTGGCCCTATACGAATTTCCGGTGAAAATAAAAATAATAGCTTGTCGAGCGTACACTTTGTGTGTTACATTGCTTCTAATTATATGATGCTTTTTGCTTAATACTCAGATGAATATTCAACACACAATTCATGGGTCAAAATGCTAATTATACCAGTTACTTGTAAAATACTAATTAGCATGTTATGTTTTACCATATGCTGGTGAAACATTTTTTATAAGTACCCCTTTTAGTTTAACATAACAGCAAATGTACAACATTTCAACAAGGTTTTGTCATCATCAGGTACCTTGTTGAAACGTTGTACATTTGCTGTTATGTTAAACTTATATTAAAGTTTTTCTTCATTACCCATACAAGCCGTCTCCAACCATTATTAAATATTTAGACAGTTTGACCCTAGATGGTCAGTATGTATTACAGTGTACCAAGACAACGTGAGACACTGAAGAAGACACAGAAATGTGTCAAACTGTTTTCTCCAATTTCAAATCTTAAAGTTTGTTCCACTTACTGCGATTTTTCACTAAATATTACATATGATGTCGTATTATTTTATTACCAAATTATCTTATCCTTCAGAAAACAACAACAACACAGTATTATTTCAAACCGTGATCTAAAAATGATTTTAACTGTCAGAAGAAAGAACATGGTATTGACTAACTTATTTTCGACAATAATATACGACACTTGTTTTATTTAGCGAGTGAGGCACTGGTATGTTTGTCACATGCTAATGTACAGTATCAGTGTAAGCGATTACCATGAACTGTTATTACAGTAACAATAATGACATACTTTATAATCTGAATATTGATAGTGTTGTAGATCTTTGTTTACAGGTATATTTTGTTAACATGCTTTATAATCTGAATATTGATAGTGTTGTAGATCTTTGTTTACAGGTATATTTTGTTAACATACTTTATAATCTGAATATTGATAGTGTTGTAAATCTTTGTTTACAGGTATATTTTGTTAACATACTTTATAATCTCAATATTGGTAGTGTCCTAACTCAGGGAATTAACGACTCTTACATTTTAGTGGTCTTGACATAATTCAGGGAATTAACGACACTTACATTCTAGTGGTCAAGGCATAATTCAGGGGGGCGAGCATGTTTGGTGTGACGGGGAATCAAATCTGTGACCCTCAGATTGCGAGTCGAGTGCCTTAATCACCTGGCCATGCCGGGCCTATTAAAAATCATCGTCAACCTTATTGTGACGTTATGTCCCACAAACCGGTAATCTATAGTTCACAATTCATCAACATAAGGCATAACATACCATAATAGTTGAAAAGGTATTTAAAAATAAATACATAACTGGATAGATAAACAACTGAAGTACTTACAGCTCATCTTCTGATTCACTTTTCCTCTTCAGATGTTGATGATTTCCCATGTTTGCTCCATTTGTTCCAAGATTGTGTAACAACTCCCAGCTTGTGGCCGTCTGCGAGGTACATGGATCAGGAGAAATCGGAGCAGTAAACCTCATGACTGGAGATAGACAGTGATTATCTTGTTTACCACTCCAGGGCATGTATGTTGGAACTGTGTGAGACCACGAAAATGTTGGGCTGGACCCATGTACAGAAGCAGCAGTTGTGAAAGTCATGGGTTGTCCCATCACAGAGGTAATGCTGAAATACAAATCGATGCAATGTATTAAAGACAAACCTAAGCATCTACTATATTTACTAACAGAATAGTGTTGTTTTTGATACAAGTTCATTAATTAACACATTATACAAATTATTTGAATTAACTTTTAAGCCACTGTACAACGTAACTGGAAGAGATCGGAAGCCCACAAGGTTAGAGGATGGAAATACTGGAAGAAAACTTAGTAATGTAACGATCAAACGTTCTTTAGCAGAGGCATCGCTAGACACTAGGGCGTGGGACCCATGCCTCAATTTCCCAGTTGGTGTCTTCAAAAATCAGAATAGAAAACCAGGATTGATATCATACTGGAAAGTAGAAAATCCTATGGGACCAAGCCCCAAATATTTTAAGTACCTAGCAATGCCTCTGTTGCATCAATTACTACAAAATGAAATTACTGAAAATTTATGTTGTAGTTCAACGATTGGGGTTCACCAGACTGCCTCAGGAGGACTCGGCACATGGAAAAAATATTCCCTCTAAAACTTCCCTGACACGAGACAAAGCATAATTTTCATCGAACATTTATTTATTCTAATAAATATGCCTTCACAACACTGTCTATGGTTGAATTTTTTTTTAATGCAATAAAGGAAAGTACTTCAGAGTGGTTATTATTTAATATTCCTATAAACCCTTTCCAGACTGAATGGAGGCCTCTGATACCCTCCGATGTTTTACTTTTCACAGTGAAACACTTAACTTATGACTTACTAGTTTTAGCTTTAACAATTAATATAATTTGTGAAATTTCAAAAAATCTGTCATATAGTTGTGTGTGTTGTTAAACATAAAGCTACACAATGGGCTATCTTTGCTTTGTCGACAGTGGGTATGAAAACCTGATTTTTTTAACATTATAAGCCCTCAGACTTACCTCTAAGCCACCAAGGGGCAATTCTGTTGTAAGACACTTATCTGAAATAATATTAATTAACAATATGTAATAAATAAGGATACAAGTCATCAGAATATTTTTGCCACAGAAAACTATACTCGCTAAACCTATGTTTACACGATGTCTTTTCACACAAAAATATTCTATAATTTTCAAACATATATAACTAAACAAAAATACATTTTTAAGTAATATAAAGAAACTAGGAAACAATACCTAGATCTATGATTTATTTCTAAGCCTTCCATTAGATTCCTTCATTAATTTCTACAGGAGCTCCAGCTAGCCAATATCATAAAACCTTAAATTACCACTCAAACTACTTCATTCATTCTATATTGAATAAGTAGTTTAAAATCTACTCTGTCCAATCATATTTAAGTATTGGCTATAGCTAGTTTTTTTTATGGTTCAGCTTCTTTAGTAACTATTCAGACCAGATATCGTCACATTATAATAAGGTTACAACTACGGGCTGTGGTATTAAAATCACTCGCAAAGAAAAATAACACATAAGAAATAAAGCATGGGTAACTATACTTTCTTATCAAATATAAACTTTGGAACTGTAAAGAAAATTCTAAATGTACCAATAAACATATTGTTTAGAGGAGTGATCCCTCGGAACAAAGTGGAAAGTAAAATTAGAACATTTTCTTTTGGGGAAGTACACAAA